TATGCTTGTATTTTTTCTTCAAATATGTTCTACTGAGCTAATGCATGTATTTATGTTTATTTGTAAATGATTTGCCAATATGTGATACTACAAAATGTAAGACTGATAATAAAGTACAAACTTGACAATGCTATTATTCTAACAGGATGAATAAAAAAGCAATGTAATCCCTAACATACATACATACTTATATGCATGTAAATATGGATAACATCCATAACGTATGTATTATACATTTAAATATATCTGTTTGTGTGTAGTAGATAGCCAATATGCTTTTAGTGTGTGCTATGTACAAAATTCTGTTTGGGGAGACTAAGTCTTATGAATATGGACTTGAGGGTGAATAGCATTATCCTTATTTCAAAAATTAGACCAAGGGGCCAGGAATATACCTCAGTGGCACAAGCGCCTGTCTGGCAAGCACAAGGTCCTGAGTTCAATTCCAGGTAACCCCCCAAAACATGTAAGACAACATAGGCACAAACAAAGAATAGAAAAAGAACCTAAGATTACATTATTGACCATTTTGAGCAAGAATACGTTATAACCATAGAAAGGTAATAGCTATCTTCATTTTCTCGTTTTATCCAAAATATTTTCTGTAGCACCATTAATTGTCTTGGAAAAAATAATTTTGGACTTAATAGATACCTACAGAGTGTTCTATCCAACAAAATATGCATTCTTATCAGCCGCACATGGTACTTTCTCCAAACAAGACCACATAACAGCCAGTAAGGCATGCTTAAGTAAATAAAAAAAAAAAAAAAAAACCTTTGAAATTATCCTATGCATGAAGTCAGATAATAGTGCAATGAAACTAGAAACTAGTGGCAAAAGAAACCACAGAAATTATGCAAACACATGGAAACTAAACAATACCCTCTTGAATAATCAGTGGGTCTCAGAAGAAATTAGACAGCTCCTAGAATCAAATGATATTGCGAGTACAACATACCAGAACCTGTGGGACACAATGAAAGCAGTCCTAAGAGGGTAGTTTATAGTTATGAATGCCCACATCAGCAAAAGAGAGTGAGCTCAATTAAATAGCCTTTTGATGTACCTCACTGTCCTACAAAAACAAGAACAATCCAAACCCAAAGCTATCGCAAGGAAGGAAATTATAAAGATAAGAAAGAAATTGAGACTAAAAAAATACAAAGAATCAATGAATTGAAAAACTACTTCTCTGAAAGTTTAAACAAAACAGACAATTCTTACCAAAACAAGAAAAGAAACAAATCTATGCATTTATAGTTGAAAAAGGTAAAATCACAGTGGACTTAGCAAAATCTAAAAGATAATGGGTAATTGGTTGGAGAACCTGTACTCAAAATGGAAAATTCAGAAGAAATGCATAAATTCCTAGATAAATATGAACTATCAAAGCTAAAGTAAGAAAGTATAAAAATACAAAAAAAGCCAATATCTGTCAATGAAACTGAAGAAGTTATTAAAAAAAAAAAAAAATACCAGCTAAGGAAAGCCCAGGTCCTGAAGTATTCGCTGCTGAATTCAGTGACAACTTTAGAGAAGATCTAATGCCAGTACATAATGCCAATACTTGTCAAACTCTTTAATGAAATTTAAAGTGAAGCAGTTCTCCCAGTCATTCCTGGAAGCAACCATTCCCCTGATTCCAAGCCAGCAAAGGACCTAGCCGAAAAAGAAAACTACAGGCTCGTTAATGAACAAAGATGCAAAAATCCTCAACAAGATACTGGCAAATAAAATTCACCAAAGCATAAAAAAAAAATCATACATTATGACCAAGTAGGATTTATCCCAGAGATTCAGTAATGGTTCAACATATACAAATCAATAAATGTAATACAGCACATAATCAAGCAAGGTCAAACATCACATGATTATCTCAGTAGATACATAAAAAGCATTTGACAAAATCCAACATCAGTTCCTGTAAAAAAAAAAAAAAAAACCCTGATGAAAACAGGTATAGAGTATCTTTATCTCAATCTGAAAAAGCATCTATAACAAACAGGCAACATCATAATAAATGGAGAGAACTGAAAGCCTTCCCTCTAAAATTAATATGACTATGACAAGAGTATCCACTGTCACCACTCCTGCTCATTATAATTCTTGAAACACTAAATAAGACAGGAGGATTATTTATAGGAAAGGAAGCAGTTACATTACCATTAATTGCAAATGACATGATCCTCTATATAGAAGACCCCAAAAACTCCACCAAAAGACTCCTAGAACATTTTTGTTTGTTTTGAGACAGGATCTCACCATGTAGTTCAGGCTGTCCTTCAGTTCACTACGTAGTCCAGGCTGGCCTAAAAGTCAAGCTGATCTTCCTGCTTTGGCCTCTCAAGTGTTAGGCTTGTAGGCATGTGCCACCACACCTGGGTAAGCCTCCTAGACTTAATAACCAAATTCAGTAGAGTAGGATACTCAATCAGCACTCATAAATCTATAGCATTCCTATACATCAATAATAAACACACTGAGAGAGGAATTAGGGAAATAACACCTTTCACAATGGCATCAACTAAAATGAAGTAATTAGTAATCAACCTGACTAAAGTAGGGAAAGACCTCTAAATGAAAAACTACAGTACTCTGAAAAAGGACACCACAGAGGATATCAGAAAATGGAAAGATACCCCCTTTTCTTAGATAGGCCAGAACAATATAGTCATAATGGCTATATTTCCAAAACTTTTTATAGACACTTAATGGAATTCCAATCAAGATACCAATAGCATTCTTTACACAACTAGCAAAAACAACCCTAAAATTCATTTGGAACCTGACAAGACCTGGAATAGCAAAAGCATTTCTAGGCAATAAGTGAAGTGGAGGAGACATCACAAACACAGACTTCAAGTTACGCTAGAAAGCTGTAGTACCACAAACAGCTTGGTACTGACGGGGGAAAAAAGTAGACCTATGTATCAATAGCATAGGCTAGAGGGTACAGAAACAACTCCAGGCACGCTCAACCACCTTATCTTTGACAAAGGGACTGAAGATTGAATCTAGACTGTTTCTCTCACCTTACACTAAACTAAAATAAAAATGGGTCAAAGATCTAAATATTAAAACAGAAACACTTGTGTTGCTGGGAGTTGTTTGGAGGCACAGAGTTGCAGGCACGCAGGCAGAGTGAACCCATTACATAAATTTGTTTTTTGGATAAATGAGATGACATGGAGCTCTCTAAAACCCACTTGATGCATGAATCTGAATGGAGGCAGCTGGTGATCAGCAAAGTCAGGGATGAGTCCCTCATATGATCCATGAGCCAGAACCTCACATTTGCCTGTCCCGATAGCCACTACCCACAAAGTCAAACAAATGCAGCTGGCAAGCCACTTCGCACCTCAAGCCTTCCACAGTCATTCTTTCTTTCTAACATCTTTGTGATAACTGATTATGTTGCCTTCTTGCTGGTAACTGCAAGAGGCACAGCCGGTGTAGAGCCACGGCCACCATAGCTCTGCTATATACGTGTTCTGTGGGCCATAGCCTCAGCTGAGTGTGACCCCAGAAGCCACAATGGGCTCTATATCGGGAAGAATACACCTAGAAGGTGGAAGAAGCATGTGAGAAGCAGACCATCCTTTTGCAAGAATTGTGTAAACTTTCCATTTTGTGTTTTCCTGCTGGGTATTATATATATGGTAATTTATGAATTTGTGTTTTAGTGTATTGGAAACTTTTCCTTTTATTTAGAAATCTTTTCAGTGTTAAAAGCTTTGATTAAAGAAATTTTTGTAAAGTAAAAAAAAATTAAAATAAATAGTAACAATCTGCTGGAAGACAAAATAGGTAAAACTCTTAAAGACATAGGCATAGGCAAGGACTTTCTGAATAGAAGCCCACTGGCACCAAAAATAATACTACCAAGAATCAACAAGTAAAATGACATCAAGTTAAAAACCTTCTGCAGGGCAAAGAAAACCAACAATAGAGTGAAGAGACAGCCCAGAGGATGGGAAAAACTTTGCCAGATACTGATCAGCCAAAGGACTAATATCTAGAATATATAAGGAACTCAAACAGTTAGATCCACCCATATTAGAGATCCAGTGAAATAATTGGCTTCTTAAATGAATAGAGATTTTTCCAGTGAAGTATAAATGATGAATAGATACGTTTAAAAATGTTGATCATTGATAGCTATTAGAGAAATGCAAATTAGAACAACATTGAGATTCCATCTTCAGAAAAAATGGCAATATTCAGGAAATCAAATAATAACAAATGCTGGAGAGGCTGTGAGGAAAAAAGAAGCCTTCTTACTGGTTTGTATATGTGTTAACTGATAAAACCACTATGAAAATCAGTATGGAAATTCCTCAAAAAACTAGAAATAGAAATTTCATCAGATCCAGCTATTCCCCTGCTAGATATCTTCCCAAAAGAGTTAGACATATTATAGTGGTACATGCATACTCATATTTATAGCAGCACAATTCATAATAGCTAAATATTGGAAACCCCCTAAATGTCTATGAACAAATAAATAAAGAAACTGTGGTATTTGTACACAATGGAGTGCCAGTCTGCCAGAATGAAGGACAAACGTGAGCCACTTGTAGGAAAATGGATGCATTGTGAGACCATCATGTTAAATGAAACAAATCAGACACACAAATTTAAATATTGTGTGGTTTCTCTTATGTCAGAAACCCAACATGTAAATAAAGTACAAAATAAAGAATAGATAGTAGGAAATAGCAAGATGGATCTTTGGCATATGTAAAGGGAACCCAAAGACAGAAGAAGAGAGGGCAGGGAATTTTTAAAAGGAGGAGATAGTGAGGTGCTATGTGTATGAACCACGTCCATACAAAGAATGTGATCATCATGCAGGGAGGGGACTTCCAAAGCAATTGAGCACTGTCACGTACCTGTACCAACTCCCCATGATTCATGGAATCACAATGTACTACAAACATGTAACAATAAAAAAGAATTTAAATTTTATTCAGAACAAGAAAAAATGAGTTTGGGAAAGGAAGAAAAAGGTGATTCTGGTGTTGTGGGTTGCTGTTTGCCTTTGAAAATGTTGCTAGGCAGAGTTTTCTTGTAGAATTGGAATTTTCCAGTTGGATTGGCTTTGCTGTCAGAAAGTCAAGTTGATTGTTCCTCTCCAGAGTAGGTTGATAATTGGCTGAATAAAATGTTAAGAACAATTAGGAAAGGTAGAATTTGAAGCTACTTAACACAACAGACAAACTTCGTAGGGCTATTTTATCCCTTTTTTTCTTAATGTATCCAGTGAACACATTGTATAAAGTTAGAGCTTCCTGTTGCATGAAGTATTTGTTCCTTGACCTACCTGCCATAACTGCGTAGCTTACATACGCACAAAAAAATCTCCATTCCACTGTTCAATCTTTTTCACAAAAGTCAAGGTGCTTTCTCTTTCACACAAAAGCATTTAAAGCACCAGTTTGAGAGACCTTAATTTTTGAATTAAATGGTTTGACATTATTTCTTGTTCAAATATAGAAATGCCACTACTGTCTTGTGTCTTTCCCGTCTCCCTTCAGTCACTTTTGGTTTGTGATGCTGAGAACCAGGGGCCTCATACATGCTATGAAGGCAAGTCCTCCACCGCTGAACTATATCCCCAGCCCCTGCAGGACTTTTCCATTTGTGTACCCAGTACACATTGGTGTTGATACCAATACCGGCTTGACTTCCACTTCCACTTTCCTGTTGTTTCCAACCCTACTTTCTCTACTCTTCTTTTGCCTCAGTCCTCTAAGTAATAATCCCCAGTATTCTTTATATCTAGAATTATTTTGAACTTCTCCTCTGGACAATTATGTTTTAATTAAAATCTAGACTCAAATTCCTTTCCTTAATGGTTCTTTTCTAAATGAGCAGCATATTCTCCACTAATAACTTCTCTTGTTATTCTGTGACACTTAACCTGTCCATTTCAAAGAAACAAATAAAAACTAAATTCACATTTGTCTTCCCCCTAATCAAGATGATTTTTAGAGGTTGAAGACTCCTTAATGTGTTCAGTAGAGTGCATATCATTTTGTCTTTTTGGTAAAGCTCTTTTTGAATTAGCAAAAATTGAAGGTGTGTGTTCTGTGTAATAAGTCGTCTGGACTGCCAGGCGTGGTGGCCCACGTCTGTAATCCTACTACTCAGGAGGCTGAGGCAGAAGGATCCTCACCAGTTCAAGGTCAGCCTGGCCTACATGATAAGTTCAAGACTAGCCTGGATAGCATACCAAAAAACTAAAAAAAAAAACAAAAAAAATCATCTGGATTTTTCCCAACTATTGAACATTTTATTTATACTAAAGATTATTGGTAGCGCTTCTCCTCAGTGAATCTTCTCTTTATCAATCTTCTTAAACAAAGTGGTCTTAATTTGATTTAGTCTTTACATTCTGATTACCTGATCATCATTATTGTTTTAGTTTCTTGTTATTGTTACAAAGTATCACAAACTGGATGTTTAAACAAAAGAAATTCATTTTGTCCATTTTGAGGGCTAGAAGTGTAGGATCAGAGTGTTGGAAGGCATTGTTTTTAGTGACAGCTTGGAAGGGAAACTATTCTATGCCTCTTGCTTACTTTAGACTGGTTTGCTAGCAATCTTTGACATTCTTTAGCTTATGGAAACATCTCCCTGATTACTGCTTTCATCTCTACATGATGGTCTTCTTTCTGTGTACGTCAATGTTCAATTTTTCCTTTTCAAGAAGAACTCAACATATTGAGCTAGGGGCCTGCCACTCTTTAGTATGATGAAATCTTAACTAATTATAACTCCAATTACCCTGTATCTAAATAAGTTCAAATTCTGGGGTACTGGAGATTAGGATTTCAGCATCTATATTTGGGAAGGGGTGTGTAACTTAACCCATAATAATCATGAACACTATTTTCATGAACATTTCTACCACAGTGATTTCTACATGACTCATTTATAGGCATACTTACAAACTGTGCATAACTCCACCTTGGACACGTCATTCTCTAACTTCCTCAGTCCATTCATTATTCTGAGATAGAGTAGGCATTTCTTACAGCTATCATGGTATTTTCTTCTGGAAGTGTCCCAACTTTTCATCTAAAATGAAAGAAGGGCCCAAATTCCTGATGTTCATATGTATTAAGATAGAATAAGTTGGTTCCAAGTTAATCTCCCTGCTAAGTAAAGACCTATTTGGGCTATAGTGTATGCTCTATGGCATTTCTTGTAGTTTCCCAATAGCTCTAGTTTCTATCTTTAGCTTACGACAATGAAAAATTAAGGTAAGCTTATAAATTCACATGAAAAAGCTGTGTATTTGAGATACTTGTGTATTATGTTCTCATGAGATAGATATAGATATAAATACATAGATATCTGATAAAAGTGTTACAAATTTATCATCTTATGTACTGGTTGCCCCAAGACTTTACTCACTACTGTGGGAAAAATCAGTTTCCCTTGAATTTGTTAAGGTATAATTGTGTTATACAAGAATTACGTTTTTTATGATTTGTGCAGTGCCTGTCAGAGTGCGATCACTCAATAAACATAATTCTAGGACAGAATTGAAAGAAAATCAGGTGCTGTGAGCGGGTAAGGACATGTGAACATTTAGTTCTTTGCAGGTAATCTCCCTAAACAGGATGTGGGCCTGTACTCCCAGGTGCCAGCGTACCAGGGGTGGCCACTGTGGTTCTCAGGGCACCGTGTTCATGAGCCACCCACTGCGGCCCTGACTCTGTCAGCCACAGCCTAATAGGGGCTTTGATTCTCAGAGTGCCTCCTGCCACAGTGAGTGCCTCCGTTTGTTTTGCCCCTCCCTTTGGTCATTACTCCAGCCTGGCAATAGAGGGCAAAAAATGAGAGGTGGGAAGGGACTGTGAGGGGACACTTCAGGAAGACGGCTCTGCCAAGTACAAAAAGCTGCTTAAACAGTTCTGGTTCTTAGAGCACATGTACAGTATTTCTGCCAACTCATTAATGAATACATTTTATTTTGTATATCATTCAACAGTCTGCTAAAAATCATTTCTCCTGATTCTGTTTTCTCATTACTGAGTCTTGGATCTACCATAAAATTCAGCCAGCTACACAAATAAAAAGCAGCATTACTCCCTGTCTTTTAATAGTCTTCTTTCATAAGTACCTGAATGAAAAAAGAATTAAGATCTGTTATGTACAGCTACCAACTCCCCACAGTGAAGGTAGTCATTATGTGCTTCAAACATGTACTAATAAAAGTTAAAATTAAAATTAAAAATAAAAACGGTTCTGAATGTGTTCGAAAATATTTACTTCATCTTATGCTTTGATATTTTTAAAAGCAATTTATCTCTTATATTTGAAAGTCAATTTAGATATCTTTATTAAATAGTAAATATTTCATTTATTTTTGTTAACAAATGCTAACTTTATATATCTATGAGGTATTATGTGATCTATCTAGATACTGTAAAAGATTCAGTCAATCTTACATATCAATCACTTCACCTGCATGGAAGAAATTTCTTTGAAAAGTTATAGTGAATTTCACAATAATAAAGTTCCAACATAGTATTTAATAAAAACTAAAAATAATTATACCCATTTTATAGCTGAAAGGGGAAGATATTAAAGTGCTAAATGTAATAATTAAGGTTATACTGGTATTACTGTCATTCTACTTAAGTTTTCACTCTGATACTCTGAGATTTAGGACATAAATCCAGGATTTAGGACTCAGTGAGATGATCAAAGTACTTAAGATAAAAAGACAAAACTGAGACATAGAGGATATTAAATGCCTGTAGCAAACTACATAGCCAGGTTACAGGAAAGTTGTTACAATTTTGGTCTTCTTCATTGTGTGTTTGTCTCCTTTAGAGAACCGTGATTTTCACATGTGTGATGCTTGAAAACTTTCTTTAAGAAATTAGTAACTCAAGGTATTATGAGAAACGTTTAGGTTTTTAACCATAAAAAACTAAATATGTTGGTAAGAATAATATATTTATTGATTGGTCTTAATTTTAGAATATTTGAGCTCTACATTCTTTTTTAGACATAAATCTAAATTTAACATTAGAATTCATTTATATTTTTATTTCCTTATTAGATGGGTATCACTAAGTAAATAGTCTTAGGTGTTAATATTTATATACATATGTGAAAATGTCTATGTTTAAAAACTAAAATATCTACGTTTAAAAACTATGAAGTATACAGAATTTATATGGTGCAATTTCCATATATAAAGATAGGAACTCTAGCTAATAAGGAAGCAGGTAACCAACCAGGCCAAAATTTAACCATGTTGCTATCAATCCAATTATCTTAGAGAAAAAGAATATGACATAGTCTTACATGCTTCCACTTTTCCACCAGTTAAGATTTACAATTGAGAAATAAGCAAATTATAGAAAGCTCTAGCCCCTGTAGATCCCACTCAGGTGAGACTCAGAGAGTCCCTGTGCTCAGTTAGTTATCTGTTGGTGTCCGCATACTTACCTAATCTCAGACAAGAGCCATAGAATGTGGACCAGTAACGGAGAGTCAGGCAGTCTCTAGCCCAAAAGAAACCTCAAAGGAGAGACTTTACATACACAGGTGAGTAAATAGGAAGAGATTTCTTCAAGCCTTTCCAGGAAGAAACACCCATTTCACCTGGAAGTAGCTATAGAACTATAAAAAGTGTCCTGTTCCATGAATATTTGCATCATGATTCAAGTCAAGAATTGGAGAGAGCTGGAGTTAGTTCAGAGAGAAGAAAGAATGTGGAAAGGGCATCAAAGTTTCTGGAGTTAGAGAAATACAGGTAGTTAGTAGTGAAGTTTTAGCACATTCTCTGAGGAGAGTACGTGATTATACCAGAAGATGGCCTTCCCAGTCAGTTCCAAGTAAGTTCCTCCACCACCTTTAAATAAAATGAAGTATTGCATCAGTCACTTGGAAAAGTAAGAATTTGTTTATTATTAGCTGGTAAACTTGTGTCCTCCATCTCTACTTTATCTGTCAGCTTTTTTTTTCCCTAAACACAGCCATTTAGTCTATATTATTAGCCTCCTGAAAGGAAAATCTACCAGACTACCAAGTCCAGTTTGCCTTAGCTAAGACTTATTTATGTGATTGTTAAAAGCAAGAAGTCAGGCTTAGATGTGTGTGTGTCATTTGGTCTACAAGTAGTACATCTTGGCTTCAGGTATTAAGCTTTAACTCTGCATAAGTCAAATGCCAACTGTTGTGCACCTCTTCTGGGCTAGTTCTTTTGCTCTGTACCTTTAAGTATGTTATCTCCTTTAATCTTTGCAATAAATCATTTTAGAGATGAAAAGAAAAAGCCTCCAAGAACCTAATTTGACCCTATGCATACATCTAAAAAAGTCATCAAGCTAGGAGTCAAACCTAATTCTTTCTGACGTAATGTCCTTCCTATTTTTAAACTACTTCTCATCCTACTTCTAACTTTGCAGAAGATTTTGAATTGCCTTCTAGTAGTCTAACTAGCTTTAATAAGGGATGTAGAGATTGGTGTAGCTTGTGATTCCATGGTGCTGCTATTTTATCACCTGAAAACATGCCCAACCCAAGCCACTTGTCAAGTTTTCTCCCAGTATAGTGTGCTAGCCTATCATATAAGATAAATTTCCTACCAAATAACATTAATTTTCTGTATTGTTTTGTGAGACATACATCCCATTTGATGTAGGTGTTTAGTTTACCTCTCAAAATAATCTGAAAACAACCAAAGTTTTCCTAGATTAAAAAGAATAACATAAGCATTATTTGTTACTATGTAACAATAAAGTAGTAAAACTGATTTTGGGTGGATATTAGGTACAGTAGTTTCATTATGAGTCTATATAGTGCTTACCCAACTTTACTGCTTATAAGCTTCATAACCATTATATGAGGATAGTAATAGTACCTACCTCTTCATATCCTGAGGATTGACTCTGATAATAGATGTAAAATATTTAGATTAGTCACTAACATATAGTAAGTATTCAATAAGTGTTAACTATTATTATACACAAGCATTTGGGAATAAAACAATCAAATAATTACTGGTAAATGTTCTGTAAATAGGAGTTCAACAAATATGTACTAACTTTGTTAAGTACATAATTTTTAAAATACTATTACTGGTCATAGTAAGTATGGTATTCTGACTACTTTGAATATAGTATACAACAAAATGTTCAGTATCATTAATAATTGTATATAGTTTCCAAGAGCATTTACTGGCTCTGAAAGAGCCTTTTTAAAAAAATTAGGGTATCGTTTCATTTTCTGACTTATGATTTGGACTTTTAGTGCTATATAGTATATACTTCCTACTGAGGTATACGTGTGACCACTACTGTAAATGTAGATTTGCATTTTCTTTTAATAATTATGCAGGTGTGGCTTGTCTTACTGTTCAGTGAAAACAGATAGAAAGAAGCATGCACATGACAGAAAGCAGATAAATAGGCCGGGAGACAAAAAAGGCAGCATTTGTCATGCGTGCTTCCCATTTGCCTGAGACAACAGAAATACACTGAAAGAAAGACAGTATATGTCACAATGTGTGCCAGTGCTGGAAATGCTACATACTTTTCTGATGATGTCAAAACATAGTTTTGTGGGGCCTTTTTTTCTTAATAAATTTGTTTTTAAATCCTGAGATATTTACTCTTTGAAACATTTTCTCTGAAATTATCATGAATTAAATCTCCTGGTTCTTAGAACTAGTAATCTGATTCTGGTAATAATTTTAGGAAAGGTTCAAAGGTTTGCCTGTCCCTAGAATGTTCTTCCTACCACTGTTGTTTCTCCTCCTTCTACCTTTAGAAATAATTCATGGGTCAAATATAGGAGCCCCGTCTGTGCTTGTGTTGTTGCCCTTGATATGTTGTATTATGATTTTCTGTTTAGATGCGCATTTTCTCTTTTAGAGTCTAGAGACTAAATTGTGTCTAAAGAAAGAGGCTGTGGCTTATTTATCTCCCAATATCTACTATGATTGTGTTCCTAAAATAGATTTACTGCTTGGTAAACATATAGCCAGTAAATTAGTAAACTTGCCAACACACACACACACACACACACACACACACTGCATCAGGAACATGAACAAAATTTCCTATGTCTTTGTATATTCTTCAAGTGTGTGTGAACCTTTTGAAATTGCCTGTGAACATATTAACATGTGCTCTAATCTCTCTTTAAGGAATATTTTATAATCTTTGAAAAATGTTTTTGCCTGTTTGTGCTCTTTTAACTCTGAGCATCACTTTTACAGGGTGGATTTGAGTTACTACCAAGTACTGATCCTTTGCTTGAACTATAGGGAAAGTGTTAAGTATCCTTATTTTTATTTGCACACTACCTGAGTGGTGTTTTTGTGCAAGCACTTTGTTCAAAAAAGACATGGCTTATGTCTATTAAATGGGAAAGTCTTACTTTTAAACGAAATTTTCTGTCTTTCATACAGAATGTACCATATTGTTAGGTATAGCTAATTTTTTGCAGAATTACTGAATAAATCAGCCATCATCGCTGTTTTGAGGATGAGGTTAGAGATTCTTTAAAAAAGCTAAATGAAATGTCCAGTATCACACAGCAAGATCAGAGAAAATCTGACACTCACAACTCGTAGTTCTGTGTTTCCAGACTGTTACAAAAGCTCTCTGAGAAGCACCCGTATATGCCTGATTTCTCAACTTCACCCTCAGTAAACTTTTGCAATCCGGAGGCTAGAGACCTCTTTTGTGAATGCTGTCTGCCCAGTGAGAGTGTTGGCACGGGGAGGCCCTAGCAGATAAAGTGGAGGAACATATGGCTTCTATTTGAATACAAATCGCTGGACATAACGTGGTAATTCAGCTGCAGTGTCCTCTATATTGTAAACGGAAAGAGTATGATTAGAGGTGTTTATAAACGGCATCTGAATTCCCCCACACCCGCCCCACCCCCTTTCCACTGTATTTTTATCAGCCTGAATCACAGCCGTCCAGCGTCCCAAGCTCACAGTGTTATTTGTGAAAATGGCCAGCATGAGGAATTATTAATTAAAGCTAACAAATCACCCTGACGAGCTGGACCCTGGCATGGCTGAAGGTTGATTGGCGAAAGTGTTCTCCTTTGGAGAAAAGACTTTTTGTGCTCGTGACGCAGTCAGGGACGGATTATTGAATATGCAAGTTAGAAGAAAAATCACAGGACAAGCAAATTGAGTATTTACTGGCAAATAATTGCTCTCTTAAGCTGTGGCTCTCTTCCTAAAATTCTTAACATTCCCGAGGGTTAGAAAGAAACTCAGAAAAATGCATCGGTACAGAGTACATTTCAAAAAAAATACATAGACTGATGTTTCAGATTTGTGCAGGTAAGTGTGATTGTGTGTGCATGGAAAGTGAAAGAAGAGAAAGCAAAGGAAAGATGGGGGAAGCGTGACTGTTAGTCTGGAGAGTTTTTTTAAAACAACTTGTTTATTGGAATACTGCTCAGCATATTTCTAAGTTAAGAATTTACTTCAGTGCTGCATTTATTGTGAAAGTTAGAGACTAGGAGAGAGGCTTTTTTCAAAGTTGTTGTCTTTATCAGCAGACGAATGTGTTAATGTTTTGTCCCAATAATAGCTTTCAATGTTGCTTAGATATTTGTAGATACTTGTATGAAATGATCACTTGATATAAAGATCTGCATTTTCAACATTGTTAATTATGATGTGTCTTAACAGTGTCTTAAACACATTTGGGTACAACTATTCCATTTATTTTTAAAAGTAAACACTGTATTACATTAATTCCAAGTCAGTCCTTGTTGAGAATTTCTTAAGGAAGGGACACTAAAGTTTTGGAACAGTTATTTGAACTCTGGGCTTCTATAATAATCGAAGTGTCAGTTATGTGGTCTTTTTATCTGGAATGTTGATTAGACTACTGAGTTTTGTGGACATTGTAGAATAAGGAAGACTAGTGTAGAGGCTTTTACAAAAACAATTTTAAATACGTAGAAATATGCAAGTGTAGAAGTGAAGGTCATGTATAAAATGTAGACCTTAAGAAACAGATACTTTTATAAGTACAGTTAGATTATGTCAATAGCATTATCAAAACACCTATATCTACTGAAGACGAGTTGCATATTCTGTTAAAATAAACTAGAAAATGAGCTTTCATCAACAACAAATTGTTTTGAAATGAGAATAATTGGCTGGTGAAATAGCATTTTAGAGTTGTATTAACTATGAATAGCACAGGTTTAAAACAAAGACATAAACATAATTTAGATGGTGTTACCTAATTAATAATTCTAAACTGCTTTATAAAATATCTACATGATAGTAATAATAGAAATAATAGTAAAAATGGAGAAATCTGGCAGTCACACTGAAATTAAATGAGAGAACTCTCACAAGGTTTTAGAGAATCAGAATTTTAAAAGGTAAATAAATAAAACAGATATGACCTTCTGATCTTTTCCTTGAACTACACAATATGTACTGCTTAGAATTTTTTCTTAGCCTAACCAGTTCTCTGAAAAGAATACAGTTTAGTACTACAGTATACAATCAATCTATATTATAGG